TTGGTTTTAATTATAGGAATTAATTGGTTACTGCAAAAAAAAAAAAAAAAACCTCAATTGCGATGCTAAAAGATGGTCCTTTTTGGCACTTTTGTGTGCTGAAAACAAAAATTTCCAGCATTTTTTAGACTGCTGAAACACCATTGTAATGGAGAGTATCATAAATCCTAATTTAGTACCGAAAGGTATTATTCTCGGAATTAATCTCAGCACACAAAGCACTGATCATATAAATATAAATATTTTTTTAGCACTGTGCAGATTTTTTTAAGGTTTGCTTCCTTTTATTTAAACCCAAATTTTATTACTTTTACTATTATAGTTTTTAATAAATAAAAAATAAAAAATAAAATAAAACAAATTAAAATTAAAAATTTAAATTAATTGTATGAATGGGACGAAACTAAATTAAACAGTGAACTATATATAGATCCGCAAGCCTAATATAACTTATAATTCAATAAATAAGGACTTCTATTTAAAAGATTTTTAAAGAATTAATATATTATTTTTGAGTAATTTGGGATACAGTCAACTATATAATCTCTAATTTTTGGGTACCTCTAATTTTTTGGTTGCAAATATTCATAAAGACCTCCATAGATCCAAATATTCATGGGTTCCAAATATTCATATTCGTGTAGACCTTTCCAAATAATATTCACGTAGATCTCAATATTGGGTTCTAAATAATATTCATAAATGGTGTTGAGATTCCCTTGGACTTTTTTTTAGGCTTTACAATAAATAAATTAATAAATATATTCTTTCAGAATTACAGTTATTTAAAAATTAATCATTTTGAATTTTTTAAAATTTATTTATAAGTTAAACAATGAAATAACATATTCTTTCTGAATGATGTGAGATTACATAATGTAATTCAAAATCACTAATGCTTGTATATTAATTGTTGGAAAAGTGCTAAAATTTTGTAGAATTTCTGACAATTAAGTGAAGTGTCGCAATTGCCTCAGCTATGCTTACAAAATCCCGACACAGTACCCTAGCATTTGCAAATTAAGTGTCACAATTGGGGATTTTTAATTTTTTAGTTGGCACACACTCTATTCAACCTATTTTTCGGCAATCGTTCAATTTAATTATTAAAATATAATATAAATATAGTTTAATTTAATTAATTTTCATATCTTATATGCATAATTATATCTCTAAATCTGTTTATCATTAATTTTAAGTTAAAAAATAATAATTTTTAACAAATATATTGTGTTGTGCGTTAAACTGAAGTATATATCAATTATTGTTATTTAATTATAAAGAAAATTTCTTGCTGTTCTTAGTACATGGTATTTTGCATATATATATTTTTTGGATATTTTGTTTAAAAACAATACTAAAATAATTGTAACCAAATAGTCATGGTAGTTTAAAAAATGCTGGCACCGGCCTCCTAATTGTGTTATGTTAGAA